TGATGGCCCATAAAATTCCCACAACCCGATTTTTCTTCGCGAAACCTTTCTTGTAAATTTGATTCTTTCCTCCCTCTCTCACATGCCACCACATTTGAGCTGCCTGAATTTCTAATGCAGTAAGCAGCGAACCGGTGGCCTCAAGTTGCGCATCTTTATAAACTTTCCCCATTAGAGCAGCTGCATAGTAGGCATTAACTGCCTCACTCGTGCTCTCTTGATTCCTCCCGTCTGGGAATTCTGTCAACCCTCCCGCCCACGAGTGCATTTTATAAAGATCAAAGCATCTCAGACGAGCGTAATTTGGATTCGATTGCTTGCCCTTGTTCAGAAAATCCTCCACGAGCGAGTATGCTTGAGGCTTGTACTTCTCTCCCCATATAGGATCAATCTTTGCTAACACGGAAATCCCATATATAAAGTACCCCAGATGAAAATGGTGATCGTTATAAATACCAAACCCGAAATCAGCAGTTGGATCAGTTCTGGAGGATTTGGTAATAATTCCACCCCATGTTTTGTCATACAAAAATCCGTTGCCGCTAAAAGCACCGTCCAACCACGGCTCAATTTTATCGCTCAAGTATGTCCTAATCGCAGGGATCACATCAGAACAAGCTACCTCCTCGGCAATCAGAGCCAGCCTCGCCGCTCTAGCAACTAATTTCCCGTAAAAGTATGAAGATTTGGTACTTGATTCTGTTGAACTAAGGGCGTCAACATCTCGACGAATAGCAGATTTGATCTCAGAAATCGCATCCTTTTTTACACCTCCAACGGAATTCCAAGTGACTGGAATAGGCTTCGGTGCTAACAGCCACAAATCACCAACAATGCCAACCAAATCACCGTCGATGCTTTTGTACTTAAAATTTTGCAAAACAGTAGCATTGGACAGAAGCTTGAGATGGAGAGGATGAGCTAGCACAAGCAAATCTCCACCTTTCTTTTCAAATTTGTACGACAAAGTATTTGAGTTTTCGAGCACAGCTGCACCAGAAATCGGGTAACAAGAACTGAAGTGGTCGAGAACTTTCTCAGATTTAGGATCAGGATCCGGCACTACAGCAACACGAATAATCCCAGAATTTTTTTTTAAAGATAACGTGGATGAGTCGCTGTCAATTAATTCAGTTGGGGAGGATGTGTATACTAGCCATGTCTGATAATTGTCGAGCTTGACGATGAACTTGGTGTTTGAGCCACTCGCTGAGGATGCCGAGACAATCTTATGATTGGTCGATAAAGAAACCGACGTGGGGCGATAAACAAAGCAGGTGAGAAAGGGGGTTCCCCGAACCAGGTAGAAGCGGAGGTTGGAGGAGGGAAAGTCCAATGTCACACTCAAATCGTTGAAGTCGGAGACTACATGGTGGCCGTTCTTGTTTGAATTGGACGCGAAGATGGTGAGGTCAGCTTCGAACGGGGTTGTGGATACGGCAGTAGAGTTGTAGGAGAAAGACGGGTAAGCGAGAGATAGGGAAGAGTTGGCTGATCTGATGGTGTAGGGGTGGATGTATTCAGGTTGGTCGCCATTATTGAGGACAAAGTTTTGGAAGAAGGAGTTGGTGGGGAGCGGGGATGAGAGGAGGTTCGGGGCGAAGAAGGTGGAAGGGTCGGGGAGGATGGTGGACTGAGCTTCCGGGAAGAGAAATGGGGCGGGGGTAGCCAGCGGAATCAACGCCGAAAAACAGAGTGCGCAGACGACGAGAGCAAGAGAAGAAAGCATGTTGATTTTCATGTTTGTTTTTGCATATTCATTCATGAGAAATTGCACAAGGTTTGGTAAACATCTTAAATTGCATATTCATTCATGAAAAATTGCACAAGACTATCTGACTATGTACCAGTTTGGTAGTGCTGAAATTTTGAGAAAAAAGCTGCTGCTATTTAGTGTTTGGTAAACTTCTTAGATCAGTTTTTTTCACAATTGTGGGTGAAAAAAGTCAGAAAACTCAACCAGCAAAAGACAGCTTCAGAAAACTAGCCTTTTTTTTTCTTTTTTTTTTTTTAATCTCAAAACACAGGTGCACATCAAAACACAGATCCTCTCCGGATCTGTGCAACCAGAGCCCGGGAATCAATGGATCTGTACCATTGAAATTTGATTCAACGGTTACAAACACAGAACCGTTCTAAAAATTATAATAATTATAGTCGTTGAATCAAATTTCAATAATCCGGATTTATTGATCTTCGAGCTCCAATTGCACAGATCCGGAGAGGATCTGTGTTCCTTAATAAACTTCATTTTTCCATCACTTAGACGGTTAGACCATCATCAACTCTTAGAATAAGTCTCAAAATTTGACTTCTAAACCCACCCAATTTCACTCCAACTCTTGGTCAAAAATTTGGTTTTGGGTTAAAACTCAAAATTGGACCAAATACCGGCCATCTTTTGAGTTTTAAACCCACTAGTTCGACTGAATGCGCCTAGCACTGACCACCCACAAGCTTTTTCACGCGAATCTCACTCCCCCTATTTTTAAATAGAAAACTTCATTTTAATCCTTAAAAAATATGAGTTTTAGATTTTAACCTTGTGTAAGATTAAAATCCAATTTTAGTCCCTAGTACATTTAATCATATCATTTATTAGTTATATTTTGATGTTTTATTTATTTATTTATTTTTATTTTAATGTATCAATTACATTTAAATTTAATTTTTATTTCATTCCTCATAATATATTTTAATGTCTACATTTAGGTAACTAATTCTTTTATAATATATATTCCGATAACAATTTTGTATGTTATTCATTTAGGTACATTAATATATTTGAATATTTCGGTATATCTATTGGTACAAACATATAGTTACATTGATCAATATAATGCATTTCGTTACGTACATTTTGGTACACATATTTGAGTTGACTTTTAGGTACATTAATTCAATATATTATATTTCGGTAAATACATTTAGGTACCTACATTTTGGTACATACATTTCGGTATTGATATTTAGGTACATACATTTCGGTATTGACATTTATGTACATACATTTCGGTACGTACATTTTGGTACATACATTTTGGTATTGACATTTAGGTACATTAATTCAATAATACATTTCGGTACATACATTTAGGTTAATTATAATATATTTCGGTACAATCATGTAGGTACAAATATTTCGGTACAAAAAAAGTCAATTTTATATATTTCGGCATAGTTATTTCTGTACACTTATATATTTATATATTTTTGTATCACAAATGTCTTTTAATATTTTCTCATTTACGTTCATTTATAATTAAAAAACTAAATATGTGCATATTAATAAAATTAAAATTCAATATGGAGGGATTAAATAAAAATACACATTAAATAACAAAAATTGAATGTAAATTTTGATAAAAGCACTATTCAAGGGATTAAATTGAATATTTAATCTAGCACCAGGTTTTTTTTAAATTTTAATCTTTTGTAAGGACTAATGTTCAAAAACCCCATTTTTAAAAGTAAACATGCTGGGTCCTATGCACGTGGGCATGTCTCCAAAACATAAAGGACTTGTTGGCAAAAGATATGAACCCACAAGCTCATTGGCTAATTCAACGGTCCAGGTTCAACTTTAATTTTTTCTTTTAGTTTTATATTTATAAATTCTTTTAATCTCATGGCTTAGATATAAAACGATAAAAAATAAAAAACAAACTAAGGATCCAAATTAAATCCAACAGCTATAAAAAAAATATTTAACTCAAAATTTCACCAAAAAACTCTATAAATACCTATGATTTGTTCAAACCTCCACACAAAATTTATTATTCTCCTACAATTCTTCCAATTTTTCTTTCTACCATCTTCTAAAACCATTTGTATCATTGTTTCATATTCTTTCAATGTGTTTAATGAGTTTCATATGGTCGGTTTAGTGATTTTTAAATATTTATCGGAATCTAAATATTTATATGTAAAAATGTTCATAAAATAAAATTAAATTATTCTACATAATTTTTTTATTATATAAAATGGTTGCTTTAGAAAAAAAAATTAGCCTAAATTCATTCTTTAATAATATCGGGCAAAAAATTTAACTCAAGAGGGTTGGAGTAGAAGAACTGTTTATGGGCTAAAACCTAAATTTTCTCGGTTAAAAAAATTTTAGGTTTTAACTCAAGGGTTGGAGATGGTCTTAGGTTGTAGGACAAAGATACTCAAAATAAATAAGCATTTTTATGGTCAAAGTAATTTGGTCGTCTGAATGCCAAACTCTAAAATGTACTTGTGAGTAATCGTTCATAGAACACCTCACTTCGCCAAAAAAGCTCATGAAGTGACATTTTTTAGCGAGAGAATCGTAGACTCTTGGCTGGCTTAGATTTGGATAGATAACCAACTAAAATAGAAGTGGTGTTGTTTAACCAAATTGAAAATACTCTGAGGCCACTGACTGATTTTACGATTCCAATGATGTTCAACCGAATTGAATATGGAGCCAATTTGTCAACTCAATGATGTTCAACCGAACTGAATGTGTGATGATGGAGGTCAATGAATAAATTAGTGTTTTTCTCAGGGTATGAGAAGGTTTTGCGTAAAGCAAGGGTTTCTCATAGAGTTGATTTGTGTGTTGAGCTCAAGGTCCACTCCACATTGCAAAACCTCATACTTGAATTTCGTGATGGTCAAGTCTATTGAGTTGTAAAATTATGATAATATTTCAATTTCTCAGCATATTCTCTAAATATACTCGGAATTTTGGAAACTCTACCGCCGCCAAGTCTGGTGCCCCCTCTTTGACTTAATTAGGATTCTAAATAGATTGATTATGTGATTGATTCAACCTTTATCCAGACACCAATTCTGATCCTTAATGTTCCTTCATCCCACAACTTATAGTATATGCGCCGAGTGCATGCAAAATTGGCTCCAAACAAATTTATATTTGATAAATTAACTCAATAAGGAGCTACACGATATGATATGCAGGAAGTCAGACCTGGTGGCGTCCGCGGATAAGGAACAGGGGGAGCAGCCACTGACAAGAGTAGGGTCTACGCCAACATTGCAAACTCTGATTTAAAAAACTTCACTCTAAAGCCAACCAACACCGTAACAACCGGTGGTTTTACTGGTGGTGGATGGGTGACAATGGCTCCTGGCGGTGGTAAAATTCTATGGTCAACTGCCTATCCGAGCAATGCAACTTCTCCTGGACCAGTGAAAGTGGCTAATGGTGTTTTATTTGCTGGATCCACAAATCCGCGAGGCTCCAATGCTGATCATTTTTATAAAATTCATGGGCACACATTTGAGAACACAGCAAAGTAGAACTTGCCAATGCACTTGCAGATATGGGATGGACATTTTTTTTCCATTTGATTCAGTAATCTGTACGACTAATGATTAATAAAATGTTACAATTGGCATGAATTCAAAGATTGACCATATAAATAGTAAAAAGGCAAAGCTTCTCTGCATTTTGTGTGAGAGCACTTCAAGCTTTCACTTCCATGGCGCCTGCAGAACTCTCCAATGGTCCTTTTCTCCTTTCTCTGTGTATGTTTTGTCTAGTCATAACACCAAGTGCAGGTTTTAACATTGTAAGCTCCTCTCTCTCTCTCTCTCTCTCTCTCTCTCTCTCTCTCTAAGTGGTTTTCACAACTTGATGGTTTTGGTTTACAGTGGGGTTCTGCACAGAAAAAAAAGGATGCCCAAGATTGGCTAAATCACGGCGGAGACTTGTACAACCGAAGATATGCCAACAGGGAGAAGAAGATAAGCCCTGTGACAGTTTCCAATCTCAGTTTGAAGTGGAAATTCTATGCAGGTGGTGACATAACTGTAACACCAGTCATTTTCGACGGCACACTCTACTTCCCCAGCTGGAATGGATACCTCTACGCTGTTAAGGCCTCCGACGGATCCCTTGTTTGGAAGAAGAATGTGCAGAAGCTGACTGGCTTTAACAACACCGGTTTCATACTCAATGTCAACTCTACAGTAACAAGATCGACCCCAACTGTCGCCGGCGATCTGCTCATTTGTGGAATCTATGGACCTGCTTTTGTTATTGCTGTCAAAAGGTCGAACGGGAAGCTTGTCTGGTCTACCAGGCTTGACAACCACACCAGAGCTTTCATCACCATGTCTGGAACCTATTACAAAGGGTTAGTCAAGCTTAATCTACCTTACTATTTTTTTCATTAGTTTTCTACTCGTTTGTCAGTACTTTTAGAATGATTAAAAATACTTTTATATAACCAAAAATGCTTCTAGTAAACTGCTTAGGAACTATAAACGCATTAAAATTGGAAAATAACTTGAACTTTTACTTCTTTTTTCTGTGTGTGTATGTTTCTAACAAAAACGTCTCTAACGAGAAAATACTTACGAATAGAAGCACTTCCTTATCCTGAATACGAGTCGTAAACCTAGCTCGCATGGATTTCCCCTCCAATTCCAAAGTCTCCCTCATACTCATTATAATATTAATAACTTGTGAGTCAGTCAATGGTGTTACTTGGAAACAAGAAGTTAGGAACAAGATAAGCAACACCATGTGCTTCTTGGCTATTTTTCTTCTGCTAGGATAGAAGTATAACAATTTTTTATGCCTACTTGAGATAAGTAATATGTCAATTTTTAATAATCCAAGTCTTTTTTTATTCACCTGTAGTTTCTGCATATGTTAATCAACAATACAAATATGTTAAGACTTGTTGGCAACTGGACTTCCGAATTTTTTTTTAGTTTTATGGCAATGTTTTAATCCTATCAAGAAAACATTAATTTCAGTGGTGCTGTCCACACATCTTTTTGTTTTTTTCTCACACTTTTTGTTAATTTTAGTCATTTAATATTCTTCATTTTATTTGATCCGACGACAGAAAATTAAGAGAACGTGTAGAAAGTAAAAAATGGTATGTGGATAGCACCGTCCCTAATTTTTTGTAATTTTAATTCTCATCACATGTACTCTGCTAGAAAAAATGTAATCTGCATTGTAATTAATCAATCTTTAAATCACAAAGAGTTGTATTAATGTAATTTTATGGCACCACATTTCAATTTCTTGTAGGGGTTACTATGTTGGAACATCGTCACTAGAAGAAGGACTCACCATCGAACAATGCTGTACGTTTCGTGGGAGCGTATCGAAATTAGACGTCCGAACGGGCAAAATCCTGTGGCAGACCTTCATGTTGCCTGACAATTTCGGCAAGTTTAATGAGTATGCAGGAGCAGCAATATGGGGAAGCAGCCCTTCCATTGATGTCCCTCGGAACCTCGTCTTCGTTGCCACATCGAACCTTTACTCAGCTCCTCCGCGGATAATTGAATGCCAGGAGAAGGAAAACAATCAGACATTACCTTCTCATCCAGAGGCCTGCATTGAGCCCGAAAACCACTCCGAATCCATGGTAGCTCTTGATTTGGACACTGGGAAAATCAAATGGTATAAGCAGCTAGGAGGCTATGATATATGGTTTGGAGCCTGCCATAGACATTTGGATCCACGGTGCCCACCTGGTCCTAGTCCGGATGCAGATTTTGGTGAAGCACCAATGATGTTAACTACTTATATCAATGGGGCTAGGAGGGACCTTGTTGTTGCTGTTCAGAAAAGCGGGTTTGCTTGGGCTTTGGATCGCGATACTGGCAGCATAGTATGGTCTACGGTAAGTTTGCTAGCTGCAGTTTGTAAATGCTCCTCTTGAAAGCACTTCTGTTAATATGCTTTCCTAGCTGGCTTACTCATAATCACTTTAAATTTCTTAGCTGGCTTACTCATAATCACTTTAAATTTCTTATGTCAAACGTTGTCAGAAGCATTTTGGTTATCTGAAATCGCTAGTAGCTATTCTAAATGCACTTACAGAAAGCATTAGCTGAACAAAATGCTGTGATTTAGGAAGCTGGACCAGGAGGACTAGGAGGAGGAGCAATGTGGGGTGCGGCCACGGACGAAAAGAGGGTCTACACAAACATAGCCAACAGCCAGCACAAGAACTTCACTCTCAAACCATCCCAGAACACTACAATTGCTGGTGGATGGGTGGCAATGGAGGCTCGCAGCGGCAATATCCTATGGTCCACGGCGAATGCTAATGATGCTACTGCCCCAGCCGCTGTCACTGTGGCTAATGGCGTTGTTTTTGGAGGGTCTACTCATCGACTAGGACCGATATACGCGATGAACGCTAAGACCGGGAAAATCTTGTGGACATATGATACCGGGGCTACTGTATATGGCGGCATTTCGGTGAGCGACGGATGCATTTACCTTGGAAATGGATACAAGGTCTTCAATGGATTCGTTAACCCGAATTACACCGCTGGAACTACGCTCTTTGCCTTCTGTGTTTAGTTGCTACCAGTTTCCCACACTGTGTAATATGAATCTTTGCCCTTAGGTGAATTCTGTAATAACACAAGATGCAGAGCATGCATTAGCAATACAAGCATTAGCCACTCAATTGTGAATATTCCCAATAACCTAATCTATTGTTATGTACGGAAAAACTATATTCAGGAATGAGATCCACTCCAGATCTTTGTGTTCGGAGCTCGTGGATCTAGAAATCTGGACCGTTTAAAAGAGAAAGATAGAGAGAGAGATCCGAGATCGTTAAATATTTTGAGTTTTTGTGAAGTGAACCAGTAAGATAGACTAATGAAATTTAAAAATTAAAAATAAAAAAAAATAAAAAAAACTGACAATTTGGCAAGTAAACCACTCATGCCCAGTAATGCAAAAGAAGCCAGGCTAATAGGGACCATAAAATTAAAATTGAGTAGTCCAAATCTCTCGGCCTGCAGGATCTGGACACAAAGATCCGGAATGAATCACAATCCCTATACTCAAACTTGAGTGCAAGAGAGCAAACATATTGCTCTAACTAACTAACCTAATTACATACAGTAACCACTATGTTTAGATGAAGAAATTGAAGATTACTAAAAAAATTTAAAATGATGATATTTTATTTTCTAGAATTTGTGAATTTTCTTATTTGGTTAACCTAAAAGAATAATGAAATTAAATACGAAGTTATTTTTACACTATCAATCATAAAAATTAGGAAATGACACATATTTACATGAAATTTAAACTTGGGAATTGGAGGTCTCAAATTCCAAGTTTTTTGTTTCCACACTAAAATTCTAAAGTTCTATGCGTCTGAATCTAAACAAGAAAATTGGTGCATTGAGATTTATAAATTTTGATTTTTATCCAAATTTCAAGTTTATTTTCCTTATTCAAACGTAGTGCCCAATCAGCCAAATTCAACCTAACTGACCCAACCCACTCAATCCAACTCACAACGTCGTCGTTAACGCTCTCATTTTCTCGTCAACGGAAACTTCAGAATTTTACCTCCGCAGCTGATAGCACTCGTCGTCTCTCTGCTCCTTAAACTCCCAAATGGGTTTTCTCAGAAGAGCTTCCAAAACCCTAAAACCCTCCAAGTACTCGTCTTTTCTGCAGAACAACTCGCTCTCCAGAATTTACAGAAGTAACCCACTTCGAAACGACTTCGGTTACTGCCGTTTCGGACAGAACCATGGATTTTGCTCCCACTCTCGCCAAAACAGCAAAGAGAACGGCGTAGATTTGAGCCAGTATCCGACGGAGAGGATTCGGAACTTCTCGATAATCGCGCATATAGATCACGGCAAGTCTACTCTCGCCGACAGGCTTTTGGAGCTCACCGGGACTATCAAGAGAGGCCATGGCCAGCCCCAGTACCTCGACAAATTGCAGGTAGAATACCAATCTCTTTAGAGAGAGAGAGAATGAGGAGAGAGAAAGTGAGAGATGGGTTTTCTTTGGAATGTTTTTTGGTTCATGGGATTGCTTTTTTGGCTCAATGAGGAGGATAGTATGGTTTAATTTCCATTTTTATGCATAAAGTTCATCTTTTTGGTTGCATTTGAAGCTCTTTTCATAGTTCCCCGGGGGGGGGGGGGGGGGAGAGAGAGTTTGGTAGATGGGATTGGTTTTCTGCCTCTATGAGCATGTTAGTTTTGTTTACTTGCAATTTTTGTGCATAAAGTTAGTGTTTTTATTTGTTCATTCATCCATTTGGTTGCATTGAAGCTCATGTCATTTCCGTAGTTCAGGAACAAGGTGCATTTGCAGTTAATTTTGGTTTATAGCTCAGCTTGCTGATTTTTGTTGTGGAAAATTGTTTATATTGTTGTTTCTAGTTTATATGGCAGTCATTCTGATTTGGGGTTTATTAGGTGGAGAGAGAAAGGGGAATTACTGTTAAGGCACAGACAGCTACCATGTTCTACAACCACAAGCAGAATCTTAACGGTGCGAACGACAACAATGGAGACCAAAAAGAACAGAGCTTTTTGTTGAATCTGATTGACACGCCTGGTCATGTGGATTTTAGCTATGAAGTATCAAGATCTCTAGCTGCTTGCCAGGGTGCCCTTTTGGTTGTTGATGCTGCACAGGGTGTTCAAGCACAAACTGTTGCAAACTTCTATCTTGCCTATGAATCTAACCTGGCGATAATACCTGTTATTAACAAGATCGACCAGCCAACTGCTGATCCTGATCGTGTTAAAGCTCAACTAAAATCAATGTTTGATCTTGACGCCAGTGATGCTCTTTTAACATCAGCCAAAACAGGCCAGGGTCTTGAGCAAGTCCTTCCTGCAGTCATAGAATGCATTCCACCGCCTCCTGGGAAGAGTGGTTCACCTTTACGTATGCTTTTACTGGATTCATACTACGATGAATATAAAGGAGTTATATGCCATGTTGCAGTTGTTGATGGCATGCTGCGCAAGGGGGACAAAATTTTATCTGTCGCAACTGGCCAAGGTTATGAAATTTTGGATGTCGGGTTCTTGCATCCTGAGCTAACTCCTACAGGAGTTCTTCATACTGGACAAGTGGGGTATGTTGTTACTGGCATGCGCTCGACCAAAGAGGCACGAATTGGAGACACACTATATCATAATCGAACAATTGTTGAGCCCCTTCCAGGTAAATGCATCACATTCTTTTGCTGCACCAGTAGGTAGTTTTATTTCCCGAATCTCCTTTAACGGAAGAAATAGTAGCTCCAGAAGGAATGTCAAGACCTAGCTTACTTTTATTGTCACTGATGGTGGTCAACTTGTAGGGTTCAAGGCTGCAAAACATATGGTATTCTCTGGTGTTTACCCTGCTGATGGATCTGATTTTGAAGCACTCAACCATGCAATTGAGAGACTGACCTGCAATGATGCCAGTGTGGCTGTTGTCAAGGAGAGTAGCACAGCACTAGGTATGGGTTTTAGGTATGGTATTTACTACTAATACCTTTTCTTTTTAACTTCAAAATTAAGGATTTGGCTTCTACCACAGCTTTATATTCAATAAGTTTCATATGAAGTAGACATGTTATACTTACTGTGTCCATCTACAGGTGTGGTTTCTTAGGATTACTCCACATGGATGTTTTTCACCAGCGTCTTGAACAGGTAAAGGTTGTAGTTTCTGGAATATGTTATAGAATTTTTCTTAATGGAGGTATCAGTTGTGTGCGAGAACAATATAAATTTTTTTTGCCTTTATTTGTGGGAAAAACAAAACAAAACCACAAGATACTTTTCTTAGTTCATCAGAATGGAAAATATATTAATTTTTTATGCTAATAATTTTGTCAGGAAAAAGGGAATCGTCATTACTTTGTGATTTGCTTGTTTCACAATTTTCCTATAGTGATTGACAAAATAAGAATTCATGTCTCTTTTATGGATAATAGGAGCATGGAGCTTGTGTTATTTCTACCATTCCAACTGTTCCTTATATTTTTGAGTATTCTGATGGAAGGTATGTATTTAATGTTATTCTTGTAAGATTGTCTTCTTATATGGTTTACCAAATAATGTTGGTTCTGGTCTAGCAAACTAGAAGTTCAGAATCCTGCCACATTGCCCTCGAACCCCAAGCAACGAGTAACAGCTTGTTGGGAACCTACAGTTCTAGCTACCATCATTATTCCTAGTGAGTAAGCTCTCGCGCACCCTTAGCATGTTTTTTCCCCTCTCAACACTGAGAGGTATTTATTCATCCAGACTCCATAAGTAATTTGTTCTCTAATTGAAGGTATGTGGGGCCTGTCATCACCCTTTGCTCTGAGTGGAGAGGGGAGCAGTTGGAGTATTCGTTCATAGACAGGTAATTCTTCAATAATCATTGGGCCAAATTGGCCCTATTGTTTTGGAGGGGTTTCACCTTCAAGCATCACGTTTACTTCACCACTCATATTTTGTTAAAGTGGATTTGTGTTTTCGCAATGATGTTCTGAACTCATCTCTAATTGAGATGCTGATTCTGTGTAGTTTGATGCATGCAGTCTACGAGTCTTTATGAAATATCGCTTGCCTCTAAGGGAAATTGTTGTCGACTTTTACAATGAATTGAAGAGTATTACATCAGGATATGCATCATTTGATTACGAGGATGCAGAGTAAGTTTCAGCCCACGCCTCTCTTTCTCTATTTTGTTGATCCTCCTAGCGTAAAAGCTTGGTAGGATCAAGTCTTGCTCCTGATGATTTAAACTCAAAGAACAAACCAGAGCAATTTGCATTATATTGTTATAATTTATTTTAAGCCTTATGCTTGCCTGCCTTTGTTTAATTCATGACTCATTAGGTGTATAGACGAGACGACTGTTGTTTTTTCATTTTATTTTATATTTACTGATGCAAATTTTTCGTTGAATGTAAAATATAGGTACCAACAATCTGATATGGTCAAACTTGATATCCTTTTGAATGGACAACCGGTTGATGCAATGGCAACAATTGTTCATAACTTGAAGGCGCAACGCGTTGGTCGAGAACTGGTGGAGAAGCTGAAGAAACACATAGACAGGTCTGTTTATCTAATAGACTATACTAAATGGTAATTTCTGAATAATTTTTTGTTCGATTCTTAAGCAACTCAAAGTCTTGATTCGGAGCAGGCAAATGTTTGAGATAACAGTACAAGCTGCAATTGGCTCGAAGATTATTGCAAGAGAGACGTAAGTACTTGAAATTTTTGTTTGTCATGTTGTACATCTTGAAACAATTACCGTTCACCTAAACTTCTCTGTGTGTTTTTGTAGGATTTCTGCTATGAGAAAAAATGTTCTTGCCAAGTGTTATGGTGGAGATGTTAGTCGAAAGAAGAAGCTGTTAGAAAAGCAAAAGGAAGGGAAGAAACGAATGAAGCGTGTCGGTTCTGTTGATATACCTCAGGAGGCATTTCATGATCTACTAAAGAGTTCATAGAAACAAATCCAAAATAATAGTGTATGTCTGTAACCGCCTAATTGGTAATTACCATTTCTCCTTTCATGCTCCTTTGCCATTAGTATATTGTCAAATTTATTGGTTGCACTTGCACAGCGACACTTCGACCGCTCAGTGGCTAATCCGCCCCTTCTTGTTTTGGTGGTCAGAAGAACGATTGTTTTGCT